ATGCTCCGCGGGGCTGAAAGCACTCCTTGCTGCTGCTAATGAAGATCGCTCTAATATCCAGACTCGGGGAGAAATACTCTCTGAGGACAGATGAAAGCGATCCGGAGCTGTCTGAATTTCTCTTGTAGCGGTCTCTGCTGAGAGGCGAGGCGCACTTGGTTGCTTCACCAGACAGGGCCTGGTTTCTGCTACTGGAAATCGGGTCTGAGTAACGCAGTGAGTCGAGGTATAATTACATTGACAATTTGCACGGGTGTCGTGTTTTGATGGCTTCATAGCTCACATTACAGTCATACCGAGCGTCTACAGTGATTTACAGGTACTCGCATCGTAGCATCCCCCTGTAAACTGTTTTTTCAGATGCTCTGTTCCAGAATGCGTTCTGCATTCATCAGGCTAACGTTTGATTTCAGGTAGGTTTCATTCTTCCTGTACGATTTCAATACTTACTCTCTATAAAATTCTCGTCATGCACCATTTTGTGGTAAGAGCACAGTGCATTCCATTATGCTGAGCACACCTTTATATATTCGCTGCTCTATTTAAACACGGCAAGAAATCTCATTTAACAAAACTAAGTAAATACCGTGTTCCAGTAACACACATAAGAAAAAAACACATTTCTTCAGTGATCAATTGTTTCGGATTCAAAATGTGTACGGATCACATTAAAAGACGCAAAAGCGAGGGTTTCCGTTTGTATTTAAAAATAACCCACAAATAATACGTGACCATGTAATTAAAAAATAATCAATTTCTGTCATCATAAGTGTCTAGGGTAGAGAACTGATAACTAAAAAGACTCATCATACCATCATGTAAATAATGAAGAACGCCATACTGAAAGACAGTTATTATCTCAAACCAGATAATCAGCACTGGATTTTTAATATCGTTTAATGAACAAAAGTCCAAGCTCTTTAAGTCAATACATCCCAGTGCATCTATTTTAAGACCTGCAGACTTGGGAATGAACAAACATGGAAGGGATCTGAACTGCACTCTGTTGCGGGTGTTTCAAAACCAGTGAGCATGTTGCGAGTAGTTTTCCATTGACAATGGAAAGGAATAAAAAAGAAAGTTCATACAGAATTTGTTACGATGGTAACTGCACCACACCGGGCGTCATATTGAATTTCATCAACGCTTACACACGCAGCCCTGTCTGTCTGCGGTCTGCAAAAAGACTCACAGATACCTATATATACAGTATATACGTGTGTGTGTGTGTGTTGCAACGCGTGCATGCACACATTTCAAAGCTCTGAAAATGGCAAGGTTTGTGACACTGTCGCATATCACCAGAGAAATGATCACCATAGCTAGAGCACAAGTCTTGCACATAAAAACACACCGGGACCGTCAGACTATCCCCACCTGTCACACAGGATACACGGGGAGCGTGTGCGTGCGCGCGCACTCGCCTGGTTATGGTGGAGGGGCCTCTTTAAAGGTGTAGTGGGTATTAATAAAAAAATATATATAGCATTCTCCCCAGAACTTTGTTTTTTTTTTTTCTTATTTCCTAACGATCCCACGCCCGTGGCATAACCGCACCACAGCCACGCCATCAGAAATCAGCGTGAAGCCTACGCGAATCCTCATTTTGATGTGCTGCAAGCGGGCGTTTCTAACCTTCTGATCCTACTACAGTCAGGCAGTCTCGTTTCTACAAAGTAATGCCACAAACAAGGCTATTTCGTACGGAATGAATGGGCAATAAATGAATTGTGTTTGAGGAGGGCAGTGGCAACTGTATAAGCGGTCAAGACGGGACAAATGTAAATAATTTGGATTCGTATAATATAGAACATTAGACCTTCTAGTATAACATCAATATTAAAAATACCGTATTATATATAGCCTCTATTTTGAAGATAAACACTCGGGGATAGAATTGTATAAAAAAGGCCTGTTTCACACCGAATTTAAATCGGGATGAAAATCTGTGATCAAACATCTAGATCTAGTCCGGTTCAGACGAATACAGCGTCAACAACATTCACTGAATATCGTTGGCACATCAATACAATTGACTGTGCAGCTAAAGCCGAGTAGGATTTCAAACTTCAAATGTTTTAGATGTAAACTCACTGTGGTCTCGGCCGTTAAGGCCTACACCGTTTTGTTAAAAAAAAAGATTACAGTACGGAGAGTTATATTTTTTTTCTAGCTCTGAATAATTTCCGTCAGTGACTGGCTTTGTCTCAAAAGAAAAGAAAATCTTTTAGGATAACGTCACCTAAAGACTTAACGTGCCAAAGATGACTGGAACAGCAATTATTAACTGTCATATACAGTCGGCTGCCTTTCACTCGCACTAGAAAGCTTTAAAAGTAATCATAATTAAAGGCTAAGAAAGTAGCAGCTACCAAACTGACAATTATGTGTTTCCTGTTCGTTAGCCATGTTACAAATTCACAACCTGACAGGTTTTTTTTTACATCTCACACGTATGATATGTGCCCAAGGACAAATATATGGTCCCTTTGACCATTAAGATTTGTGTAGTTTTTTTGTCCTCACGTCTCTTGTAACTGAAATTTTACTTGTTAAAACGTACAAAAGTCATAAAAAGACAAAGGCACAATGACACCAGTCAAATGAGTCACATTCGATATGTAATCCCATCGCCCACACTGAAGACTGAAGAGTTGTCGATGAATTATACTCCCATCTTTTCTGGAGATCAGACTCTGAAACATTACATATCCAAATAAAAAAAATCGAAATATCTATAAAAACACCGTGGATCGCAAATGTCAATTTCCAGTCTGTACCTGTAGCCCCCTAAGTCTGCCCACCTACACTTAATGGTTATCCAGCTTTCATGTGGCATTAAGATTACGAATTTCGTAACCAACAGTACTTTACGGAAACGATTCTCCTTTATTTGAGACAGGAAAAAAAAGATGATTATGTAACTATTATAGTTTACTCTTCTCGTTAGACGAGGAATCTGTCATATACAGTCCGCCTATTAGCTAATTTGAGATTATTGTTTTTATCATCTAGGAGAACGAGTAAAACTATGAAGTATGAATATACTCTATGAAGTTTGTTTCTACGTTATTGTGGCACAAGAAATACCCCCAATATGCAATACGAATACGAAATAGTCGTATAAGACTTCCTGAATTTCTCGCAATAATTACTGCGTATTCTCAATTTTTACATAATACCCTATTGGCTATATTTCAGTATTGTTCAGGTACGAACGACAGACCCGTGTATATGTACGAAATGACAAAAATAAAGACTCTTTCAAAAAGCAAAATGAGTATTGTGTTTTATTGTGCGTGTGTGTGATTTCTGTAATAGAACAGAGACTATAGGTGATGGTTTCTCGGGGAATGTTACATGTTTATATCCGATTTCTCCCAGACACGCGGTCTCACTATTTAATCGCTGAGTGGAGCAATTAGCTACCCCATTCAATCGCAGTTTCGTGACGTCACTGAAGTAGGACAGAGCAAATCTTTGCATAACTGGTTCTAATTTGGAGCTTTATTTGGGCATCGCTGTCCCTCGGCAGGAGAAATGAAAACAAAATTACAATCTGGCGCACCGGGTGATACATTTATGCTTTCTCCTATGGAGAAACGAGTCTGGAAACTAATGCAAGAGGCATTACAAATAAATATGGGCATAAGGGGAAAAGGGTATGTATTTTGAGCAAAATACAGCGCGAAATGTTTGTACTGTATGTCGAAACCACCTCAAAACAATTCCGATGTCACACGCATACAGCATTAACGTTTGTGTACGAGTGTGTATATAGAGATATGAACACAAGCTCATACATCAGCACACATTCATGGAGTTACAGGTATGTACAGGGTCGTTACAGATAGTTCACATATTTTTTAACTTTAAACTGCACCCACGGCCGGTGTGACATTAGCCTCGATGCTTGTTAGCTCTATACCCAGTGCCATCACAAAGCGGTACATTTTGTCTCGGTTACGGAGACCAGCATGAAGTCACTCTATTTTATTAAGAAACGACTCAGGAAATAGAAAGACGAGTTTGAGTCATATTCCAGCTCCGTTTCATATTCTCCTGGAAGTTAGACCCCCGAATAAACTCAACCACTCGCTAAAGACATTTTGTTTGCTCGTCCTGGCGGCAGTAACTTGGTCCCTTGGAGTTCGCTTCCTGGTCGACAGGGCGACTTGAAGTGCCAGTGACCGTGGGCTTGAGACGAGCTTTGCTGGTCGAAGTGGACATGACTTAAATCGCATTAGTCTCCGGAATGACCTTTGCTATACGGTTCTTAGGCTATTATTTCTGGGTGTATTATAATTGCTAAGACCCTCTTCTGTGTTTATACACGGAAACACGCTGTCTTACATAGATCATCCCAAAGTTTTCATAAAATAAAAACCCCATTGCATGATGCAAAAGGTGTATTTCGGTGGTAAGCACTTTTAAAGTGCTCAAATGGAAAACTGGGAGATTATACATTCTGGTTTAATCTTATCGGCATGATTTGCAAGATATCACAAACAATTGTTACATACTGGCATGCATTTAGTGTAGCCACTGTTTATTTCGTATTTTCTGCGATCATCTGGGGCGTATTTTAGACAACAGTGGAGTTCCAGCAACTGCCCACTAGCACAAAATTATTCATTGTGCGCAAAACGGGTAGCCCACAGAAAAGCCCATCACAGCAAGATAATTAACAGCACAGTAATTATCGCTGCGACTTAATTCTTTATGCTGCCTCACACCCACTTCCATTACAATCCCGCCAGGTTAGAGAAGGGTCTTCAAGTTCGGAAACGCTGTCTCGAGGCGTGAACCACTCCGATGCACAGTTTTACACAATTACACAAATTCACTCAAGTTTCCTACTTTTTAGCAACTGCAACAGTGGGCACCAGGAGGTTTTAGAGTAGATCAGAGTTTGTGGACAAATGTAGATTCCATATAGATATCATAAAATATTATATATAGTATATATTTAACTACGAATAATTAAAACATTTACTTACAAACATGAAAGGATGTTTTAAGCAGTGTACAGCAGGCTCTTTCAGCAGTCCTCACGTCGGAAATCATCCAGAGAAACCTTTTGGACACTCAGTACTTCCCCTGAATCCAGCCATACTCGTCACCAACTCATTTTAAAGTTGCCGCCGATACCCAGCTCATTAGACTTGCTTCGGCTGCTCTGAGTTAAGCAGAGGCAATATTCCATCCACATGACAAAAAAAAAACTTTCCCATAACGTATTTGTCTTCTATACACCCAAATGGTAAAGTGAAGGGCTGTGGTGGAAGACTAAGTTTTTGGCGTTGGCCGAGGTCTAGTCCATCCCTCCTTGAGAATGAGGACGTGCTCTGAAATTCAAACAAGTTCCCCAATTCTTTTGTTGCATATGAACTGTAGACCTATTGTTCATCTATTGCCATGGACTTTTCGTCCTTCCCAGAACAGGTTACGGGCTGATAGGAGTAATGAATTTGCTTCGAGCCTTTTTTAAACCTACTGTGACAAACGGAACAAATTCAAATTTCTTTACAGCACAGTGACGATACACTCAGCTGCACGCCGGGTCCTACAGTATGTGTTTTAGGAGCGGTATTACCAGACCGTCTCAGCTTTTATCGCAATGAGTATTATTGCCATACTCTTATTTTGGATTCATTTTCTTTATTCAGAAGTCAGTGTTACTCCGACACTGAAGACGACGAGAGTTACACTTGAAAAGTGAGAAAAATCCCCCGTGCCTTAAATTCAGACACTGGTAACGGATTAATCTCCCACTTAAAAACGTTTTTAATGAAATGATTGGCACGTCTTCACTTGGAAGAAGTTTGCACGGCGCTATCTTGCGATATATTTTTGAGACTGCTAACAACATTCGCCGCTCAGCAATGATAGTCATTTTTTAATCAAATCGGTTCTATTTCATTGCAACCAACAGCACAGTTACAACAGTTTATAATAATCCATTATTTAATTTTTTTCAGACCTTCTGTTTTCATTTGTGTTGCTTTGAACCGGTAAAACCCAGTTTTCGTCGTCGATTATGTTTTCGCTACGCATTCGAAAAAAACCTGTCAGAAATACTATTTTAGGTAGAGTTTATTATACTTTTGGTTTGTGTTCACTGGAAGAAGACAGTGTCACTCATATCTTAGCATTGATTTATTTTGTTTAGTTGATTTTTGCTTAATTTACTATTAAAAAGCTAAATATCTTCCACCGTAGGCCTTTGTAAAAGGTTTTGCTTAAGCACACAGCAAGAAACAATTTTGTGCTTTTAAGACGTAATTTTATCTAACTTAATTTTAAAATTAAAATGTCAGATTTTTATGAATGCATGTGGGGTTCACCCATAGGCTATAATGTTCCAAATATTTCTATATGATCTTCCTCGTCTATTTTTTTTTTTGTTCTGTTGCTTTGTGGTCAGTGTCGCCAACACCATGAACTGGAATTATTTCAAAACTTTCTCCCGATACTCTGAAGCACAGCATTATCTTTCAAAAGCCGGACTAGCTCGGAAGCGACATTCAGTTATCACTGCAGGCGTATCCTTCTGACTCGCTCAGACTCACGTTTGGGTTTAACAGCGAGGTCACGTCCAATGACGTAGTCTAGCATATCTGCTACGCGCAACAGCCATATTTAAATACATCAAGGAAAATTAGTGCATCAAAATATGCAAATCCTGCTTGCATAGTCTCTCTTCCAGCAGACGGACTAATTTTCCCCCCAGATTTATTTTTTCGACGTTTTAAAAAAGCCGTATGTTTGTTTTTTGAAGCTCCGGTTGTGTGTTGCGCGTCCTCAGAAAGCGGGATAGTGAAGATGCACTGAAGATGCAAGTCTGCTGTGCATAATGAGACGTCCGCCGCGCCATTCTTATAGCACCGACGCTGTTGGTTCCTGCGAGTGTATTATTTTTAATATTGATGCATATGTAAAAGGTATATTTGCATTTATTTATTTACTGGATGTTTGGGTTTTCTTAAGCGTTTCTTGAAAGAAAATGTTATTCACGGTTAGGACCGGACGTGCAACTTTCCATACAGATTAGGCGAAATAAAAATTAATTTTAAAATAACGTTTTTTTTCTTTAAGAGGTTATGTAAAATGTTGAACTAATGCAAATAATGTCGTTTACAAATGCTCTGGCTGCGTTTTAAAGTAGTGGTTTCAAAATCATTCAAACAAAGGCATCACAGATCAACAGCAACAAAGAGGCAAATGAAATCAACCTTTTTAGAGCGAAATTACTTTATTCCTGTAACTTAAAATTGTAATGTGTTGCAATATAAAGCGCTATTTAAAATCCCAGTCCGCGTTTTGTAGCCCTAATAGCACAAATAGCGATGCGGTGGTCAAGATATTTTTTCCCTCTACGAACATAAAGTAAAAAGTACCAGCAGAGCAAAAAGTGCATTAAGCAATTATATTTCATTACGAGAATCGATACCGGCACAAAACAATTTACCACAGATTTCGTATTGCTGGTGTTTTATGTGAGCAGGCTAGTCATTATTTATGATCATATACACATAGAGTTTGCCCACCGCAGTAATGTGACCTAATCCCTTTGTAATGGGAAAGTACATGTAAGCTCATTAAAACTCTTATTAAGCCATTTCATGTGTTTATGTCCTAATTTTGATATGTGTAACCCCAATAGTTCCCTTATAGTAAATTAGTCAGTGTATTGACTTACCTGCTTCTATATATATATTTTTTAAGCCAATAAAGCAATCCTCTCGAAAAGTCTGCCATGAAAGTATCTTTAACAGATTATGCATAGCAAATATTCAAATGCCCGGTTGCAGTAACCCATCTAAATCGCTCTGTGGTGGTTCCCAGCGGTACCTCTGCCTTCTCGTTTTGTGAACCTTGTACTAAAGTGCTTCTATGATATGTCACCCAATAAAAGTGGCCAGACGGCCACACGTAAAGATTTTTTTAGCCAGAAAACAGACGATGTCATTGACTTATAATTTGTTTGTCGTGCCAAACACCTCTTAAATCGTTCACATATACACAGGAATGTAAACGTAGACGTAATATAGTATATTATATGGACACACATAAAACTTAGACATTTTCAACAAAAAATGTATATTTAAAATTAACTCACCTAATATAAAATATTCCCCCCTTATATCTTGGTGACTAGGAGTTCTGTCACACGTGGATTGGATCTCACTGTGCCACAAGACAGACACAAGATTACCATATTGATGCATATTCACTGCAAATCAAAATAGCAGCATCCGTCACCCGAATAATGAGGAGTGTAGTGGCTGCACAAGTAAACGGTGTTTTTTTTTTTAAAAAAAACCCAACTGCGGTACATTGCGTAATGTCGAGGTTTTTTAAAAAATGTTTGTGACCACGTAAATTCAGCATATTCTAAATATGTTCGTTATCGCTTATTATTTCGGGACACTCAAGAGAAGCCCTGCTTTACACGAGGCAGAAAGGCGGGCTGTTAATTTCATATTTTTGGAGAACGGATGCCACATTAAAGCGTTTGTAGATTCAGTAATATGACTCGATAAGGTGTATTTTATTGAGTAAGATTCGGAAATTGCGTTTTCCTGTGCGTTGTTGGGTAGGGAAACTCCTTGTGAGTGGAAGTAATGTACATTTGTTTCGTATTCCGGACATCTTTAGAATAGTTCTACAATTGCTGTGTTGAACATACAATAATAGTGCAATTCTCGGTTCTTAAAAACAAAGAAAATAGGGAATGTTAACCTGGTAGGGTATGCACTACTTAACGTCAGGCTCAATGAGTGAACGTATATATTATAATTCCATTAAATATTATATTAGCCTTATTATTAGAAACCGAGCATTAGAAAGCATGGCATGCATGCGTGCCTGTGTAAGTATGCAATGTTCACAGTAATTATTCAGTAACTATTTTCTGTAACATGCGAAAAAAAACTAAAAGTGTTTAGCAAAACATAAAAACTTAAGGAACTGTAACATTGAAGAAATGTTAATAGCGTTACGAACACAGGCCTGTCAAGTCGTGGAATTTTGTCAATTAAATGACATTATCCCCCCCATCTATAATGTAGAGCAGTTCGTCTAAATGGTGCTAGTACACTTAGTCGTGGGACTAAAGCACACAGTATGTATAAAAAAGGGAATTATTTGAGGTGTTACTATAAGGCTCGCATTTTTTAATCCTGCACCAACCCCGATTCCGAATAAAGCTCGTCAGGCTGAGTGCTTCACGCCTTTTCCTTCTCCAAAAAGTAATCTTTTTTAAAATTGTATTAACAGCTCATCACGGTGTAAGAATCTAAACATGCTCAATGTGACTGTCGGAGAAAAAAAAAAGTTTCGCGTAGTGCACTTTCGTGCCCTCCCAGCCAGCCTATAAAGGCATTTAGAATTTGCGGTAAAGGCAACTGACCGTACTGAAAGTTTGTTGCCTGTAAGTGGAAAGCTGTCTTTCCCGGGTTCGCGTCTTCCACAGAGTATCAGAGGAGATGCCGTCTGTCAGGACATTAACCAACACCTGAAGACGCCAGCTCCTCGCAGTGACTCCCCCCGTGTTTCACGGTTGGCTGAAAAGACCCATCTTTTAATTCTCTAGACCGCTTGCTCTGCGCTTTCATTCTCCCATCTGAGACTGGAGAATTAAAATTTGGATTCAAAAGATGACATTACCCTGCTGTAGGAAAATAGTTGGAGGTTAAATTAATATATTTGTGGTCAAATGTAAAATGTGTTTGAGTTATTTCCGTGAAGGGTTTCCCCTCATGCGACACGAGTCCTTTTCTCTTTCTTTTTGTTTTGGACTTTCACCTTAAGATTATCGCCCTTAATGAGCTCTTGGGCAATATCTATTTCTCACGATTTTGGTAACAATGCTCTGACACTGTGACGTATTTTCAGTGCACCTTTCAGGCTTTACTGTATCTCCCGTTTTTCTAAGCTTGGGTCCAGCTCCAACAACAGATTCTTGTACAAACCATCGAAAATTTTACCTACATAAATTAAATTCGAAAAGCTCAGTATAATCCACTTTAATTACAAAATCATCTTGTGAAAACATACGAAAAAGTTTAAGCCTTTAGCATAGCTTAACTAGGCTGTTGACAAATAACCAGTTCACGAAATTCTTTACGGTTTAAACTGCAAAAGATTATCGTGTGCATTTTATTTCAAATACCCAATCAGTATATATAGTTATATATTAATGGGAAATGCACATATATGACGTATCTGAAATAATGGCATTCACGAATTTACATTGTTTAATAGTTAATGCTTAATATAACGGCTTTATATATCGAGCTACAGAAAAGCACAGTAGACTACATCCAGATAAAGACTTGGAGATGTTAATGTGCTCTTAATAAATCGGATAGATTAAATGTACTTCTGAAATGTTAAGGAACCGGCCTCCCTTAGTATACAATTTGACTTGTTAGATAAAAAACAAAAAGATAATGTGCAATATTATATCTTCGTAGTGTACAATGGTCATCTACAGGGTAAGACCGTTTTCCTTCCTATATGAACTTCACAATGATACAAATTTTCTTGAGCAGACATTGTAATTACTAATTTATGTATTTGTGTATGTATTCTTGTTCACGTTAAGAGTCGTAAAAGATATAGTCGAGTTTTCCCTGAATTAAAAACGTTGTAATACATAGATAATTTTACGGTTCTTAATTTTAACTGTACAGTATACTGTAATATACAATGTTTCTGTTCGCGTACAATGTTTCTATTCAGTTACACATTATGGATGTGAAGTGTCAATTAGTGTGAAAATTGGCAAGAAAGAACTGTCGTAAAAAACGCTATATTTGAACATAAAATAGTAGAAAATTAAGTGTTACCCAATAAATTAAATTAGAGTATATGAAATCTGTGTTCTCGAAGAGACAAACTAGCGTAGGTTTAGCTAATACATTCACATTTTTGGCTTTGCGTTAAAATACAATGGGATTTAACCTATTTTCTTCTTAAAATGTACTTTTTATTTAAATTAATTTATAAATTGTACTGTGAGTCATACAGAATGTTTATGCCCTTCCTCCGTGTGGTTGCAAAGGAAACCAGCCATTAATGACTGACTGAGTTATGGCGACACCTGCTGGCTAAGCAACATTACTACAGAAACCATCTGTCAGAAAATGATGCGACATTTTCTCATTCAACATTTTCTTCAAAAATGCACACGTTTTCTGTTCACGAGAGGCAAAAGAATGGAGTTGAAGATGACTGAAATTGGTTGCAATAAAATATGTTTGTAACAATTCAATGAACAAAGTCTAAGAAAACACAACTTATTTTAACCTGTTAGGTGAACGTTAATTCATTCTACTTTTCCAAACCAATTAAAAATATAAGGAGCCATTCTTTTTTATTTTTGGCTATGAGTAAATCTTTTGAATATACGGGAAGGATAAAGAATTTGTAAAGTATCTGACTTATACCTAAATATATATATATATTGAGCTGCAGAAAATTTGATTTCAGTTTAAACTGTCGGTATAAATAAGCGCGTTATATGCCCATTCTCTTAACTATCAATCACAGCTACTAGTAGCAATATAATTAGAATTTACCGTGTTATCAACATTTGTAGCGGCATGTTTTTTTTATTAAAAATGTTATTTACCACTTAATTATAAAGCAATGTCTCTGAATGGCACTATATCGGGTAATTCTGTATAATGTGTATTATCATTTTTGCATTGCCAATGTATCTTGATATCAAGCATTATCGGACAGACTTTTACGTTTTCTTCTGCACATACAGTTTTGACCTATTCGTTTAATTCAGAGACGACCATAGCTAAATCCTAAGCCAGTCAGTACATCTATCCATCTGTGTGTCTTAAATATAGAGTTAAATCTTGTCTTTTTCTGTCATTACTGGATTCCTTAGTGTTAGCAAGTCAACTGTACGTCACAGGATCTTTTCACTCGGTATCAAGCATCATCTGTCTGTCTTTCGGGCGATAGATAAGTCAGTCATGAGCATTGTTTTTTATTAGACTGAGAAGCCAGATTGGACATTAATTTAAGTGTAACATAACGTCACTCACCTTTCCGTTAAAATCTGCTCATTAGCTAAGATACAAGGCCAAAAGGAATATGCTACTGCTCATTATTTCCATAATAATGGATCAACACTATGACTTCACCTGTTCGGATATTTGCAGTTAGTATATAACAGACACTCTTGTTATGGCGGTTTGTTTTCAAACTCCTATTCGATATATTCGATAGAATCGAAGCCATGTTTGTGTCGCAGTGCAGTGAAAAATCCGGTTTACCCTAAAAAATAAAATCCGAAACTGATAGCACTACTTAAAAGGAAATTGAATACACAAGGTGTGTGCGCGCCCTGACACGCACAAAAACACACCTCGGGATATTGTTTACCCCATCGTTAGAGATGCTGCAATGTTGTATTGTATTTGTGTTGGAATACAGAATATTTGCCGTAAGGAGATATGTATATATACTTTTAAGTATATGATATACAACTCAAAATCATTCCAAATTAAAACATGACCAGTCATTGGACGAATATACATGTCTAAATTTGGACAAATCTAAATTACTCTTTGTAAAGCAGTAGCCTAGA